TTGCAGAATTACGTATGTATAAAAATTATTGAATGAAAACAGCGGTTCCGAAAACAGTTTTATTTCTATTTAAATTACTTTAAAAAAATATTAATAATAAATCAAACAAAATAAAAAACTCTGAAATGTGACATCTAGTATCCCTCCCTCCCCCTTGTCACACAATGTCACACTTCGTTGACCCCCTTACTCCCCCTTAAACTGTGACGTAATTTATGGACGGCCCCCAAGTCACGGTAATATTGTCATGGTGTAACTCGGCCGCATGACTGAGTTAAATACGGTACGTAAAATCGGGCTAATAGGTACATATTTGCAAAAAAATACAAACAAAAACAGCACAATATAACGTACTCGCCATATTAAATATGTACTTGCAACTTATTTTTAGTGAAAAAATCTCGCGATTAATGTTAAAAAACGACACAGCCCGTTCGTCACTGCGGCACAGTCGCGACTTTTATCATGCCGAATGATAATCGGGGCGCATATGCATAGCTTGCGTTTCGTCCGTTTGTATGAAGTTGGAATACTGTATGATAATATTACCGTGCCCAAGTTATCCAAGTGAACTCAATCACGGTCCGCCATGCCACTGTTAGTTAGAGAGATGACGACCAAAATTTTTGTCTCATTGCAATACGGCCAAAACCGCCTCAAATCGATAGATACGATTATCCTGAACTCGAAAATACCAATATCAGACATTTTTCGCGTAGCGTTTGACCTGACCACAAAAACACCAGACAAAAAAAATGTCTCATAGCAATACGTCTGAAAACCTTTTTTATTAGTAAATTTTGGTTATTTGATGCGAACAAAACAATTTTCAGACGGAAATGTGAACGCATTAAATATCGAGACCGTTTTGAAAATGTTAACAAATTTTACCGATCGGTATCATGGCAATATGTCTGAAAATTGTTGGACATGATAAAATAAGTTGTCCACATGTGCTAAAAATGTATATCAGACAAAATAAGTGTAGGACCTTCTCTATCAGACAACTTTTCGATACTCAGATATTTTTGACACAGCAGAAATGGCCTCCCACGCAGTTGCTACACTTTCGACCGTTACTACACACCTAGTCGGGTTCAGAATCATACAATCTAACGATTTTATAGGGTTTTTGCCGTATTGCTATGAGACATGGTTTTGGTCGTCATCTCTTGTACTATGTGAGAATCTTGACCAAAAACGAGCGAGAATGCGATCAAGCTCACTTATTGAGTTACAAAATGGTCTAGATGATAAATGTAGCAGGGAGTCGCAGATCGCTTCCAACCAGCCGATCTGTAAGTTACTGGGGAGGCCTATCTTTAGCATAGGACGTCTTTCAGGTTGGTTTGAGAATGGCTCTGACAGCCGGAACGTATGAACTTATATATAGCGTTTTAAAAGCTAGCGTCCTTCGATCAACAATAACAACTAGATAAAGGGTTACGTACAAAATCAAGCTCCAGTTCTGTCCGTGTGAATAATAATAGTAAAAAAATAACAAACAGAGAAAAATGTTTTAAAATAGTTTTAAGTTCAACCTAATAACAACCATGGCACCTAATAATATAGTCATAAATCGTCAAAATATTATCTAATACTTACGACCATTCGTCACATAAGACAAGAAAAGTATTTTCTTACTCCTGTCATGTAGAAATTAAAAGACATAAGTTATACAATATTTAGTTTGAATTCAACCTTAAGCTCGAACAAATAAAGATAATTTTTCCATTATTGTCTTGCGATCTATATCGTTTTGTTTTGTTACGTTTTGCTTCTTCAAATTTCGAATTTCGCTACAGGAGGTATGTATGGAGTCGCGTTGGACACTAAAATAATTTTATAATATGAAAATTAAGATTTCGGGATCTTAGTATACATCACTAATTTTTATTAGCGGTACGTTTTTGTGTATGATATGTTTATTTACTTTATCATTAAAAGTCTAAGTCTAAGTCAAAAT